CTCTGCCTCTTCCACCATCCCAGCTGACGCCATGGCTTCTGGATCCAGAGCTGTTAGGGAATAGAGTATGTGGGCCAGATGGGTTGTTTCACAAAACGTCCACTCACGAGGATTGGTCAGGGGAACGCATTTAAAAACAATCTTCTCTGCCACTGTAGCTGATGGTATGGATGTACCTGTACAGTCGACATCCTCTGATCTTCAAGACTCTCAAGATGCATTGCCACATGTCAAGGCAGTCCTCACTGCAAAGTCCCAGATTACCTTTTTCTTACAGATTTGAAGCTTTCGTAACTGCAAGGATTCATACTCTTAGGTTTTTTCGGTAAAGTCACGTAGGTAAAAATAAATAATACAAATAATCGAAATAATAATAAAAATACAATGATTATTGTATTTAATATAAATAAGAAAAATTTTTTAAATAAAAAAAAATTGGTATTTTATTAATTATTAGATTTCTATTATTATTTATATAATTTTTATTTTTTATTTTTACCTACGTACCTTTTTCTTATCCATTATACAAAAAATCTCAGCTTTTGGATGAATATGGCGCATTATACATTTTGGATTGAATGATTGATGATGTTTGTCTGGATAATTCATTTGATAGGCTACGCTGCTGTGTAGTGTAAACACATCGAATCTAATTACTATAAATAAATGAACGATCACCTTTTTATTTGGCATATCTGCCTTGGTGTCGCTTGTACTTACTGTTATGTATCATGGCCATACGTGATGCCAGTGCAGTCTCAACATAATACAACAGGCAAGTGTTCAATTGGGGAGAGAGGTATGTGCGTGCAGTCAGATGGAGGGTTGTGGGAAGTGGTGTTTAAAACATTTCCGTTGCCCGATGTCTTTCTACCCATGACGCTGTTTCATTGTTGGTTTAAAAAATAAAAGAGAGATATATTTACATTTCATTGAAAGTTGCTATATTTTGGTAAAAAAATTATCTGAAAAGTAATTTAATACCGCTTGTATAATATATGCAACTCTTAGCTTAACTATTTGTTAAAGTGAATTGCGGTATTGTGACACAAAACGGGTCTTCAACATTAAATACTTGGTCAACATAAGGCTTTGTTTACAGTTAAGTATTTTGTAAAAAAAAAATACATCACACTTAGTAAAGCACAATCCACATTCACTCGCGAGGAATTGATGCGCTTATAGCAATACATAGCAATGTTTTTAGAAGAGTATTTATGAGAGAGAGGGAAGCATTCCGCGTTATAGTTTTGTCAGCCTTTCATACTATTATTAGAAAAAAATGTTTATTCTCGCTGGCTGGCTGGAAGGGGGAAGGGACAGATGGTAACGTCCAAAAGACGTGTGGGCTACCAGATACATTCAAAATGAACGTACACAGTTTAAAGCCAACCGTTTGAAAATTTTACATGATTTTTGTTTTTATGTCAAACTGATTTCTTGCTCAAATTAGCATTGAGGCAGAGCTCATCCGCTGTGAGCCCTGAGCCAGTGATGATAATCTATCACTGGCTCAGGACTTCCCCCACAAAATGGTACTAATGTTATCGACCATAATGGATTGATGGTTTGGTTTAGTCCAATTGTGAGCTGCTGGCTCTACCGCTGAGCTACTTGGCTCGATGCAATTTGGCTGGAATAATAAAAACATGCGGCACTTTATCAATCCACTGCAGGATGAAAGCCTCCCTGCACTGTGTAGGTCATTGTTTGATCATACCTCACCAGTGTTGGTTGGGGAAACGAGTGGGGGCTTTTTAACACGTAGGCGACCAATATTATTCATATTAAAAGTTTTTGTGTAAGATCGCGTAAGTATAAATGTGTCGTAACCCTCCACCACCCGACACAGCCAATTAGTAAGGGACTTGTACACGTAAACAAAACGCCAAATAGTTACTAGTTCAGCCCACCGGCGTGCTGGAGAGTAAATCCACAACATTTACAATTTGAGTGCGACGTTTCGCTGGTAATTACGTGACAAATCCCTTACTAATTGGTTGTGTGACAAATCCCTTACTAATTTGTTGTGTCAGTTGGTGGAGGGTTACGACACATTTATCCTTACTCGATCTAACCCAAAAACCTTAATCATGAGTGGGGTCTTTGTAGAAATAAGGGAGATATGTATATACATGACTTATGCGCAAATAGAAATGTATGAACTTAATTTAGACAAAATAAATAATGTCAATACCACAACAAGTAATAATTTTCAATATATTAATTCTCTTTCGTTGGCTACAAAATGACTATACATTGTGGCAACAGCACAATTCAGGCAGTCAACAGTTTATTTTCTGTTCGTTGGAATGTTGCCCAAAGTTAGAACTCCCCATCTTAATTACACAACTGCTATTTTAGGTCCAACTTTCAGGCAAAAGTTGCTGTGTTGACTCTGCGGTTTCAAAGACTACAAGCCAGAATTGTACGAGGGCTGTCTGGTGATTTTGAAGTTAATACGTCGAAGTTGCTCTGAATAAAAAGCTCGCCTTCCCATAAGATGTTTTCTTTTCATCATATACATAAGTAAATAAGGCGGCATCTTCAAAGAAGTGCAATTTGTACCCGACCAAATAAAGTGCACACCCCAGTCCTGCGGGAATGTTGATCGCAGTGAGTGACGACTGTACCTCGTCTATTATGCCAGCTGCACAGCAGCGTGCTTGCCGGCAGTGCGTATGATTGTTTATTCTTTGCCCCTGGTCTGCAATGGGACTTGAACCCTCGAAGGTTCTGGCTTATGACCCCGTCACACACTTGTGCCGAAACTACAGAGCCGTTCCTAAAGTAGTGCGCACGCATCACCCTGAAATGCATCGCGGCAACCTTGCCAGTTACAACTTAAAGGTAATATAAATATAATATTCATTGTTACGCGTGATGTATTAGACATTCACAAAAACCTTTTTTTGGTCATACTCTTAGGTTTTTTCGGTAAAGTCACATAGGTAAAAATTTAAAATTAATAAAAATAAAAATAGAAATAAAATAAAAGAATATTTTATTGTATCAAATAATACAAATAAAAGAATAAAATAAATATTTTATTTTATTTATATTATAACTTTTAATATTTTTTTATTTTATTTTTTACCTACGTGACTTTACCGAAAAAATCTAAGAGCATGAATCCTTGCAGTCACGAAAGCTTCAAATCTAGAATTTTTTTGGTCATTCTAGGCAGTGGCCATTGAAGGTCAAAGGTTGCAGCAAACCAACATGCCACCTTTTTAACCTCAGTATTCCTTAGAGGGCTGTGGTAATTTTTTAAACTCACTGGGAAGAGGTCTCTCGCCAGAGTATCCAGGATACTGGTTCATTGAATAAATTATGCAGTACCCCTACAGATGTCTTTGTCTAGAAATAAACATGAACATAATGGCATAAGGCTGGCGTCAGAATGCACGTATATTTGTTTGGAGCATAAGTTCTTGCTAAACTTGTTATTTTTACGAAATTGTTACTCAGTATAACTATGTAAAGACTATAGATGATGTTCACGACTACATTACTGTTGTTTTCCGTGCTCTCTTCCATGTTTAATAAATAATGCAAGGAGCACATTAAACAAGAACGCTTCTTTAGAAAAACACACGTCCTACACCTATGCATGCACATTTATACATACAACTGAAACCATTTTAAATTGAAAGTAATAATCATGGTTTAAACCCCCTCGTTTTCGTTTGTGCTATACAGCACATAGCACACGCGAAAACATTTCACAAACGGCCAGTTCATTAGCACGGGTGAAAAAACGCAGACAGATGGGTTTATAAAGAAAAAAGTTAAAGAAAACCTTGGGCTCTCTCTCTCTCTCTTACGTGAGCACCCTAAAGCAAACCTAGACGTCTTTGCCTGCGTGACCAAGTGGCCAGAGGGCACAGTGGAGGGTAACTGGCAGAAGGGGACGGTTTGGTCAAGTGATGTCATTTTGCGTGAGGCAGAAAAGGCCCAGGCAATGAGGTCATGCCTAGCTTTGAGGGCTCCTAAGAGAAACAATATGGGGCAGGGGAAACGTTACCCAAGAGAGTGAGGTGGGTGGGGGGTTGTTGTAGAGGTGGGGGGAGGGAGCCTGAGATGGATGGAGGGGGCCTGGACAGAGTGAGATGGGGTGGGCAGAGGAGGAGTCTGATGGACGGGAGGCAGGGGCTGGGTGGGAGAGCCCAGGGGTCTTGTTTATTTGTCTTTAAATGCATGGGTAACCTTGCAGAGGTGCAAGCGACGAGTCTGTTCCTTTATTATTCCATTGCCCGTATTGGTAACGTTTTTTTTTTACTTTTGAGCGAAATAATAAAATGGCTCATTGGTGCAAAACTTTTACTACTACTGTAACCGACATCCTGTATTACAGTGAACTCAGAAATAATATCCTACAGAAAGCTTGGCATAAACCAAAAACAGGCATACACACGTCGAGGAATGATAAACAGCAACTGTACAGAACTAAAACGAAAACAATTGACTTTTTAATTGATCAAAAATAATACTAAAAATGTCAGAGTCGTGGCCACCCAGAACTGACTACGGTCCTGAGTCTGTGTGAAACCCTGTTTCGTCTTTATGATGTTTTTTTCCTCTCACTTGTACATCGTCTGCAAAGCACCGCTAAGGCAGACATCAGTTCCAAAAAAACAACACGAATTACAATTTACAATAGCCATGGCTGGTGGTCTGGCGTGTGGTACCAAAGCACAGGAAAGCAGTTAAGAGAGCAGATCTCTGCTGAATTTTTCTCGCGTTCATTCCCGATACGTGGACTCCCCCCCTCCCATTCCTTGCGTTGTGTTTCCTTCAATGCCAACTCTGCTTCCCCAAAATCGCAACAACTGCCGGCAGCCAACTCCTTTCCACCACCACTCCCACCACCACCACAGTTCCACAGTCCAACCCCCCTTCGCTTTACATTCCCTCCCTCTTCCTTACCCCCTCCTCTCTCTCCAAATCCACACACAGCCCACTGATTGGCGTTTCCCCCCCCCCCACCATTCGTTCTCTTCACGAGGCTCTCTGTTGCGTCGCCTGCGGTGCAACGTTGGGCTTCCTCGTTCGCTCTCAAAGAGCCGCTCGGTTCCGTCAGTTGAGGGTGCCGAGCGGGTGACTTGCAGGGAGCGGTGAGGATTTATCCAAGAGGAGTCCACTTCTGAGAGATTACAGAAGGGGGTGGGGGTGTGTCCCTTGCCTCTTTCCCCCAGGGTGGTGGATGGGGGCTTCTCCCTCTCTCTCTCGGCCGTGCGAGGCACTGCTGGAAATGGTGCATCCTGTGGAAGCGCTCTTGTAGCCGGGCTCTCTCTCTCTCTCTGTGTCCTTACGAACAAGAAGGGAACGGCGTTACAGCGACAACAACAGCCGGAGCGTGTTACTTCCCAGTTGCAAGAATGCCTGTTCGTCTGTACAGGTTTGTAACTTTTTTTCATTCTGACTTTTTTTGTTGGTTCGTTTGTTTTGGTCCGTCTCCCCTCCCCCTTCCTCCAAGTGTCACATTTGGAGTGTAACTGGCATTTAAAAGCCAGGTATCAATTTGTTTACCTTTCCTATACTTGCACACCTATCGTTTTTTTTATTCGTTGTTGTTTGTAACGTTCTGACCCGCCCCTACTGGACATCTGTAAAAAAGAGCTTTATCGCTCATCGGATTCCTCCTCCAGTATAAATACATATTCTGATCCTGATGTGGTTGCTAATGTAGCTGTAAATGTGCGCTTGTGTGCGCGTCTCTGTGCGTTTTATGTTTTTAATGGTCTATTCAGTGTGGTGTCTTTGTGTGGCTCACTTGTTAGGGTTGTAACATGGAACATATGGACGAGTGTGGGATGCGGTCCAGGTTTCATGCATTAACAGAGGGTCCGTTCCGTTTAAATACAAACAAAAAAAATAGCTGCTCTCCCACGTATTGGCAAAAAAATATAAATGATTGAAGAAAATGTTTGACGAAAACATTTGTTTATTGTCTGGTAACAATTCAAATTCAATCAACAATGTGCAGTCATATTTCCATCGAGTGTTTATAAAATGAGATGCAAAACGATGGTGATCGACTAAATGTTAGTCGTAACTTTTTGACACAGGATTGAGCTGAAAGTGACTTTTCTATTGCCTCAAGATGCATTCCTATTAACTGTGTTCATTCGATTGCTTAGCGGAATATAACATGCCGTACCCATGTGGAGTTGAGATGCATTGTCCCAGTACCATTCGGATTGAGTACAGGACATTGATATGCACAGAAACCAAGGAACGCATGTAAAAACATCGTTTTCGTGGCAAACACTGCACCTTCATTATTTTGTGCAATTCATTTTATTTTAACTCGCAAAAAATCAAGATGATTTCCTGCTCAAATAAGCATTGAGCCGGCGTTCACCTCCTGTTTACAGCCCAGAGCCAGAGGTGGAAATTCCACATTCCTATAGGGAGGCGGGGGCAAGTATATGCATAGGAATTACCACAAATTGCATCTCATTTGATTTATCTCAGAGGGATGGGTGACAGGCTGAGTCAACCTCCCAACCAAGATTTGAACTCAGAGCAATGTGAAAATGAGCTGCTTTCTCTGCCACTGAAAGCTGCATGTACAGTATAAGTTCTATATTGTTATGATGCTCTTTTTTTAGTTGGATATTGCGAAAACCCCCAGCGGACTTTCAAACAAGAGCTCAATAAAAGTGGCAAAGAAAAAGTAAAGAATTGCTCGTCGTAAACTGTGAAAGGCCCTAAAATGCCCCCATCGGCTCTTCATTACGTGCGTGGGATCGCTAACAATTGAGTTAATTTCACACTCAGTTCATCCTTATGTTGACCCACGCTCTAAAATCTGGTCTACATCAGAATTGTGTTTGTGCTTCAGCAATCGTACACTTGGACAAACACTGCTTCCAAAAGTATAATTCCAGAGTAAATTCTCATCACAATCACCCGCACAGTGCCCCATACACATTTAAAACAAGACGGACAGTTTTCATTCGAGCGTACGCAATTTAGAAACTTATTCTTAAACAAACATATTGCCTAAAAAAAATACGAACACATGAATGAACGAATTGAAAACTGAATAAGTAAATAACCCACAACCATATGAGTCCATTACTTTGGACGCATTATCTCCAAGCGTTACATTTTGTCTACAGAAAAAGTCCACTATCTTTCCCTCTGATCTCTATCACGACAAACAAAGCTTGGACAGCCTTTAATCAGCTTAGACGGCAATAAGCCTGACAGAGCAGGGGCAATGTGACATCTATGACACAGCACATGGCTTTTTGCTCGGGCAGAGTTTTCCAGCTTTGACACACAAACAGTGAGATAACTCACCAGTGTTGTCACGACGCCGCAGCTGCTGCGCGTATAGCAGCACAGTCGAGAATGCGTGGCATGTAGACAAAAGCGGAGCTACAGAAACGCGTGCGGTTTTACCAAAGAAACCAGGCACACTTCTCAGAGGCAACTTGCGTTACGTTGTGTTCATAACGCCGGAATGATAATGATGATTGTTTAGCCAAGAAAGCTTATCCTTGAGTCTCACGACTCATTATCGGGGCGGGGGGAGGAGATGTTTGGTAAATTGTGTTAATGATTGGTTATGTGAGTACCTGGAGAAAGCCCGACAATTTAAAGGGCCGTCGTGACACCTACCGTGGGCATATCCTGGCCACCTAACAGCCCCCACGCATACAACGCCCAGCGGTCATTCATCCGATTACATACGAGCAGGTAAATAACCAGCCTCAACTCTGCCCGGCTTCTGACCATGGGACATTGTGTGGCAATTTGGTGGCGTACACATATACCCTCTTTGAAAAAAAAAAACACACGCACGTTGCCTACATGTGTAATATAATGAAACTGAAAAACTGAAAAAAAAATGTGTAATGTCTGCTATAGAAGGCTGGAGCTAAAGAGGCCACGCAAAAAAGAAATCCGATGGTGTACAGTGCAGAATTCTCAAGTCTGGCTGGGCACGCACGTAGAGCGTCAGTTGCCGACATTAATTAGTTAAGAGCATTCAGTGGGCTCCACTAAGCAGGGGTGGGTGGGTGGATGGATGGGGTAGTCTAGATCCGTATAAAAAAATAGACAAAGCAAAAGAGGTTTAATTACAGGTCTCTGACGGTCAGACTAGTCAACATTATCTTCTTGGTTCTTTCGGTAAAGTCACGTAGAAGGGAAATAATAAAATAATAAAAATAAAACATAATAAAATAATTCTCACGACGTTTCGGCTACAACGCAAGCAGCCGTCCTCAGGTGAAGAATGAGACACCATCAAGCTTAAATATACGCTCCAAGCTTGGTGGTGTCTCATTCTTCACCTGAGGACGGCTGCTTGCGTTGTAGCCGAAACGTCGTGAGAATTATTTTATTATGTTTTATTTTTATTATTTTATTATTTCCCTTCTACGTGACTTTACCGAAAGAACCAAGAAGATGAATCCCTGCAGTCACGAAAGCTTTAAATAGAAATGTAGTCAACATTACTTTACTGAGGCTGTGGCTATTGCCGCTGGCTGTCATAGGGCTTTTGCAGCAGATGTTGGAGCTCGAGGCTGCTCCAATTCACTCGGAATTAAACGATCCCAGCAACAACTCGGGCAGATATTCAGTTTTGTTCATTGCTTGTGGCGTTAGGTGTAATTAATAATCGTAAAGTAATTTATAGCCCTTTGTCAAACCACTGCTGGATGAAGGCGTCCTCCTAGCCGTGTCGATCATAGGATTTTTTTTTTAAAGCTATACGTCACCGTTATTTTTGACAGCATGCCACGGTTTCAGAAGTGCCCTGTGTAGTGCAGTTGTTTTAGTGGGACGTTTTTTAAAATTTGCTAATTGTGTACATATTTGTACAAATGGTTTACAGTGCAAACGTAATAAGCAATGGCGATTTGAGATGATGAAAAACACTCACCACCGCAATATAATACAATGACTTACGGAGTTGCGACTGATTAGCATGCCCACAAACACTTAGCAAATAAACAACACTGCTGGAAAGCTCGTGCGCACGCTTAATTTGTGAAGATAAAATTGTGAGATTTGCTCGACTGACTGACTGTATATTGTTCTTCGAATAGGCTGGCTGTCATTGCACAAATCCAAACTGTTAGGCTTCATCACTTGCCGTTTTGTTTTTCCTTCTCTTTGGATTCTGGCCATGTCTGCCAAGAAGCCATCACTATATTTTAACCAACATAAACTCTTTAAAGGCCACAGGGGTTTGCCCTTAAGAAAGCATGCTGCTTATACAATTCTGACCTGGAATATACTTTTACGTTTTGACGGAACGTCTAGAATTCTCGCCCTACCATCCGCTGGGATTGAAGCATAAAGCTGGACTCCTCAGCCGCTGTGGACACAGTTGAATTCGTGAGTTTGGCACAGGCAGACGTTTTCTTGCTTATTTCCAAGAGGCGTTAACTGATTCGCAGTCAGACAGAGCGCTATTGTTTTATACCCCCCCCTGCCCCACACATTCCCTCGGCCACTGCTTCTTAAGTCAAACTGGGCCCATGTCCGCGTCCCCCCGGCATAGCCTCTGCTCTTTCTGTACCGCTTACCACTGTGCCCTGTCAATACGGAACGTCTGTGTCAGCCCCCCCACTCCATTGTGTACAGAGGCCTCCACGTTGTGCCTCTCAGCGAGCCACACGGCCCTCATTACACTTCTCCCCATTAGCCGGGGCTTTCAAATATCCATAACTTTTGCGTTGTTATTCAATGTAACGTTGGCGCGTGGGGAGAGCCCATTAATCGTATTGTCCCAGTTGAGTGCGGGCCACTGTCCCAACCAAACAGGGCAAAATGTGAATTTCTGTATACACGGAGCTGTTTATATGAAAAAACGTGATTTTTTTTCCCCCTTTTTCTTGCAATTTACATAAACAAACGAATTAGTGTTGCCTGGTTACCGTGAGCATGAATTGTGGTGGAGAAAACGCTCAATTCATCGTGTACAGCATTGCTAACCACATGGCTAGGGAATGCATACTTTATGATATTCTAACTTAAAACCGTAGGTTTTTTTACAGCCACTACTATGATCCATATTTATTTTTGGGTTAGGCCACGTAGTACTGCGATTTTATGCCAACGTTCTTGTCGAAAACTATCCACCACCCAACAAGATGATCACGTTCACAAAGATATATTTATAAGTGCCAGTCATCAAATATCTGACCAATAAAGCTCGTAAGTGGTAGCTTAAGACTTCCCACGACTGCACGTAACATTAATACAGTGTACGGACTTTCACTCAAACTTCTTTGAGCCAACGTTCCGCTGTACAAAGCGCGAGTTTTGTTTTTCGAGAGAATTCTCGGCAGATTATTGGGTCACCGCCTGCGGTTTTCAAAGTGTTAATATTAAATAGTGACAGCCCAAAATATGTACGGTAGAGTAATGCGCATCCTGATAACAACTACACATTAAGGGGCGCTAGTATTGATAGCTCACAATTCACATTGCCTGCAGAGATGTGTTCAAACTGAAGCCGTCTGGATAGTGCAGTAGAATTAAGTAATATTTAAAAATACTTCGTTAAAAACACGTTTAATGAAATGTACCGTACGAGTAATGGCAGAACTCCAGAAAGTGGCCCCGAAGCTTGCCATAACGTAAGGGGCCGTGGTGATTTACAGCCAACGTGAGTTGAGCGTGGACAATTAGACTCAAGCCGAAACATAAGATGTAAAAAAGATTGCTTAAAATATACATTTTTATTTTTAATGATAGAATATAGTATCGTCATCAGTATGACATACGTATACCAAGTTGACAGTCGATACGACATTGCGAGGTGGGTTAAAATTGAGTTACAAGATTTGAGGATACGACAACAGACAGAGTTGTGGATACAACAGAGTGAGTTAAATAATGCAGTAGTAAAATGAGCACGTGTGGCAGGATCGACAGCAGAGCTGTGTTCGAGTTGCCCACAAGTTGCCCTTGTGGGCAACTTGGGGTGAAACAGGGAGACATTACTTGGGACGGATTTCTAAAAGGAAATTGCTTGGTCAGCGGCATGATAATGTTGCATTTGAAACCCAAATAACTTCCTCTATAAACACAACGGCCATTAGTAGCCTATCCAGCACTCCATCTTCAATTAGCTACGTGCACGAAAGATTGGCGAACAGGTTTGCCTAATTGTTCCAAGCCATTCCTAAGTAAGATCCCAGATCTTATGGATTTCACAGTTTTGTCGACCATTTTTTTTTAAAAGCTAAAACAAGAGTATATTTTAATAACAAACGCATGTGACCCATGCAGTAATAATACATTGCACAAAGCTGCGAGCATCCGACTTTGCAATTACATTCTCAACAGGTAAACTCAAAATTCTGAAAAAGACAACTTTGCTTTGTTCTCATTCAGGCTCACCAGCACAAAACAAAAATGGCCGACCCTTTTTGTGAAAGTAAGAACAAAATAATAATTACACCCTGATTTATACCGCACAGAGCTAAGCAGAAAAACATGCAGGGGAGAGTGCATCGTGACCCACAAAGACTGCTTCGCTGTGAGAAAGCACCACAAATTGGGTAGGGGGGCCGGGGGCGGGGAGCTTTGGGGGGGTGGTGTGTGTGGGGGGGGGAGAGATGGTGGGCTGCAAGCAAGCCATACTAAGTTTATTGCTTCACTTTATGTGCTAAAGCTGGAAATCCTAGCCGAGACTAAAGCATGCATCATGCCATTGATGTCAAACTGCCGGGGTTCTGTAAAGCTCACAGCCATGTAAAGCAAAGGCTAGGGCTTTTGAACTCTATTGCCATAAAAATGGGGCACATGGGTGAATTCTCATGCCCCACATTGGATACATTAAATCCCACCCGAAGGCAAAAGCGGTGGGAGCGACTTTTGTTTTGTTTACCCGTTTGTTTTGTTCACAGAGTGAGGAGAACTTCACGTCCAAACGTGCAATAGAATGCTAGAGTGAAGGGTAAGCCTTTTATCACTGCACCGTCTTAGGGCATTGCTAGATTACCACTTGAGGATGTATAAACATTCACAAAGCACACCGTTCACTTGTCTAAACGTATCCCGTGGAGTACAATCGAATGGATGTTGCCACCAATCCTGTATTATTACATGGAGTTTTCCTGCGGGTACAGTATTTCAAAGCACGGTTGAAGTATAAGCAGGAAATTCAATTAAAATAATTAATATTCCTTGGCCAATTCAATATTAGATGCAGCCCTCTATGCCGCGTAACCGAGGGGGGCATATTTGGGCACGCTGCTCAGTTTGGATCGGTAACATCGGCAGTATCGATAACCGGTTTTAATATCACTCTCCAGGAATCAAACTCATGTTGTCGGGGTTGCAGCGCATTGCATCAACCACTGAGCCTCTGCTCCTCCCCATTGGCTCAGCAATATCTGCCACCAAGTGCCTGCATAATGTGTAAACGATGCTTTGCAATGAATATTTCATATTTGTTTGTATGGATACAGTATTTTAAGTTCAAGCACGACTCTGTTTGCTAGGCATGCTTTAACAAAACAGTCAACGGCGTAAAAGTTAAAATGAATCATTAAGCATAAATTTAATCCCTATAAACTGCATGTCGCTTAATAATGAGCTACACAATTTTACTGCCTTTTGTCAATTGACGGTTGGATAAAGGCCATTCCTGCTGTGCTGGCCATGCCGGATTGTTTGGCGACACTTCGCCGTGCTGAGCAAGTACGAGTTGGTGCACCGGACCATTTAAAATATAACTTGCCCAATGATGTTAGAGCTCCGGCTGGGAATCGTATTCGCTTCTTTTTCATCTTGACTTAAAGCTTTCATGACTACAGGAATTCATATTCTTTGGGTCATCAGGTGACGATTGCTTGCGTTGCGATCGAAACGTCATGATATTTTTCTAATTTTTTCTATCTACGTGACTTTACCGAAAGACCCAAAGAATAGTCTTCTTCATTGCTGTGTCTCCTGTCCAACCTTTCTGGTCTTTTCTCAATATTCTGCACAGACCACCGCTCATGGTGTTGGCATTACCGAATCTTGAGGAGTGCACTGTGGTGCTGCAGGTCATCTCAGGAGATGATCCACGGTTTGAGTCTCCTGACAACCACATTGTTTGGTTGCACAGAAGCCCCATGATTTCATGAGAGAGTTGCATCTGCTGAAACCCACTCTGTCTGTTTAGGCTCCACCATGTGAGCCATTTGGAATTGGAGCCAGACGCGAGCTCCTCACTGGGGATGATGATTCCTCGCCATCTACATTGAGCAGTTTTGTCACATGATTAGGTTCATAGCGCAGTGTGATAACAACCACTGTGCCGCCCATTCCACACTCCAGTATTTACATAATATGTAAAGTAGGTCACATCCGAAATGCAGTACAGCATGTGAATGTATGTTGAACTTCTTTCACACTGTACGTAGGCAACCGTGCTAATCGTACAGCCTTTTGTCGACCCCCAGCTTGGTGAAGGCCTCTCTACACCACGCCAATCAAGGTGCATTGAGATGGACTGCATTGGAGGCATGGTTGCAATAAGAAATGATTATGAACCTATAACATAGGTTTTTTGTTGCCAATGCAACGATCCATATTTGTTTTTCAGTTAGGCAGCGTGGTAAAGAGTTAATGAGAAGAATGTTTGACGTAAAATTGCAATGTGGTCTCTTCCCAAAAAAAACAAATATGGGTCAGTGATAATAACAATAAAAATGTTGGCTTTATCATGAGATCCCAAAGTGGTTCACATCAATGGCAATGCGGGGGATAGGTGAGAAGGGTCTAAGCTTGAATAGGAATGGTTTTAGGCGTCACTTCGAAGTTTCAATTCAACTGGGCTCCCCCTGACAGCCTTCGGCAGAGTTCCACATCTCGGTGTGGAGTTGTGAAGGAGGTACCCCGTGACTGGTTCGATGTCACTCAACACCGATGCCACATTCTAGATTTGAAGCTTTCGTGACTGCAAGGATTCATACTCTTAGTTCTTTCGGTAAAGTCACGTAGGTAAAAAATAAAATAAAAATTTATATAAAATAAAATAATAATAAATAATTATAAATCAAGACGTTTCGGAAGCAACACAAGTCTCCGTCATCAGGTGGGACCGTCACAGCCAGATTTGCTGCATCAAGTGAGGCAGGGATTCAAGATGCAAGCTCTTAAATACAAGTTAAGGGGGAGGAGAGGAGGGGGGAGCTTATCAGAATGTGGTAGCCAATGAATGGAACGTATCGTGTCCTCTTTTAGTCCCCCCCCCCCCTACCGATGTCACAGCATAGCTGGGAATCTAAATTCAAGTCGCCCCGGCTCACGGTGCATTGCACCAATCGCTGCATCATCCACTAAATATCCTAATTATGCGATATTGAAACCACTAGATAATCGAATGACCAATTTTGCAATGTTTCAATACAATATATATCATAAAAAACAATATTGCAATGACAAAGCATGAGTGCAATGCTGCAAAAAAGAGGTCCAATGTAGTTGAGATGACCTGTTTCTAATTAGCCCGTTGCCATATAGTCGAACTCCCAACTGCGTCGAGTATCAACGTTAAGGGGTGTCCGGATATGTCTCGGATTTGTCTGCGTGTCTTCACGATCCACTTTGCCTCGAGAGTGCAACCGACGGAAGAATGTTCACACAATCGTAAATCATTGTCTGCATCATAACGGTGCGTTCTTCCATTAGATCGTGCTTGATGGCCGTGCCGCTAAATGGCTTGTTACAAAGACCAACTGACGTCAAAGTAAAAGCAGTGGTAAACACATTCCTGCGGAGGGAGCTGGTAGGAACGTTGGGTTGCTCGGTCAATGGCCAGGGTCAACGGCGGCGTGGTGTATTCTGCAAATATGCTCGACTGTGAGGGCGGGCACAAGCCGGCGTGAGTAGGTTAAACGTTGAGTTTTATAAGGGCACCACGAGGTGACCAGCCCCTCCCCACCCAGCCCCATCCATCCCACCCCCCACCCAGCCCCACCCTCCCCACCCAGCCCCTTCCCACCCTCCCCACCCAGCCCCTCCCCTCCGTCCATACCCAGCCCCACCCAGCACGACGGACACAATAATCCCCTGTGGGCTGGTGTAACTAGGAGGTTTCTACCAGTCTTATGATTTTATACGACCGTGCATTCCACAATCACGAGTTGCCCTTTTTTTTACTACGTTAATTGTCCTTTTGAACCGTCTTTTATAATTTGAGCGTTACTCACATTTGACTCGGGTATCTGCTTTTGAAAACGCCAACACAAATAGAAATGTATTTTTTCGTGAAAAGGGAGCGCTCATGATGGTGGCTGTTTGGAGCTGTGTATTTTGTTAAGATGTAATGTAAACTAATAAATAACTCGCCTTTTGTTTTTTCTTTGTTACAAATCTTCACCCAGGCACATCTGGATGAAATTAGATGATAAAACGAAAGAAATGGCAGTGCTTGGTTGCTTTTACTTCATGATACAATACATTGAGACAATGAGAGAGTTTTTCAATAGAGAGCTGTGTTAATTACCAAGACCGACAAAAAAAATTCACCAATGAATTGTACTTTATTTTACAATATTTATGAGTGGAAGAAAATTATCAAGCGTGACATTGGCGACAACAGCGTACCAATCACCAACGCGTAACTGATGATGACTGAGATGAATTTAACCACTGTAGTCTGAATGAAGGTTCATATAAAATAATTACTAATTTCCCTAATCAGCTGACCTGAATATACTGTGGGGGAGTGAATTGTGCACCTCTCACACAAGATTTAATAGCTCAACGTGTGCTAAACTTTTGACTGCTTTATTCAAACTATACTCTTTGGTTCTTGCGGTAAAGTCACGTAGATGAAAAATAATAATAATAATAAAATGAAAATAACTCAATTAAATCACGACGTTTCGGAGGCAACACAAGCTTCCGTCATCTACGTGACTTTACCAAAAGAACCAAAGAATATGGATCCTTGCAGTCACGAAAACTTCAAATCTGCTTTGTTCAACTTGACACAGAGTGACTAAATGAGATCCACATATTTAGAACTAGCTAACATTCCACAGTTTGCTGTCGATGAGACTAAGACTGTGGCAAATAAAAAAGAGGCTGGCTACATTAACACTGCAACTGTGCTACTCACCCAGGAAGAAGAGCAAGGCAGATGTTAGACCACCAGAGGATTCTTCACGGCAGAACTCTCTGGGATCTCTGCAAACATCACCCTCCCTGCCGGACACACCGCCTACCCCAACCGAGGCTTCCCCTAGATCTTCCAGCAGGACAAATGAGGCAGGCCACCCACCAGTCGTCTCTTCCTCCTCGTCCTCCTCCTCCTCGCCTAAAATGGCCCGGTCGGCCAGTCAGGCACGTGCAACCAGGGTCACCCGTGGGTCAAACTCTGAGGATTCTACCATGGAGGACTTCTGGAGGGAGGTGGAACACATTGAGGGGTGTCAGAACCAGGAGGCCATTGTCATCGTGAGGACGCCAGAAGGTTAGTTATGCTTCTGCTTATGATTATAAGAACGAATTGAAAGTGTTTTTTTTTATTATGGGAATTTTTTGAATTACCATTGTATCATTAATCTTGACATCTGTTGTGCGGATGTAAAAGAAATGGACTAAGATATTTTTTTATGGGACAATACATATACGTTTGCATCTAAAATAACCGACATTGTCGCCAATCACAATATTGCAACTACGGGACAACGATTAACAACTATGAGCAGACTAAGTGTTCGACTGCTTCAGCGACCAAATGACATCCACAGACCTAAGACTCAAGTTAAATCGTACGGCTCGCCATCAACTTGGACTAGGCCCATGACATTGACTCAAACCAAACGGAGCTCACTCAACTAACGCCGCTTTTAGTAATAGGTTTTTACCCTTTCAACTGGTACAAAAACTGACACCTTTATACAAGGCATCTTGTTTGCAATAACCACAACACAAGCAGTCAAAATGCAAACAAAAAGAAACAACTCTGATGATGATAATGATATGCACTGTCCTTGAAGTTGATTGGTCCACACCCGAGACTAGGCTCTAAGAAAAGATGTCTCGGGTGTGGACCAATCAACTTCAAGGACAGTGCATATCATTATCATCATCAGAGTTGTTTCTTTTTGTTTGCATTTTGACTGCTTGTGTTGTGGTTATTGCAAACATGATGCCTTGTATAAAGGTGTCAGTTTTTGTACCAGTTGAAAGGGTAAAAACCTATTACTATATTTTGCCACTGCTAAAGGAGGTCTCAGTGTTAACATCGCTTTGCGCGCCTCTCCCCCCCCTCCCCCCCCACTGTAGAGGGCGAGCTGGAAGCCGAGTGGCTCCACGCCGCGGGTCTCACCGTCCTGGTCTCCGAAGTCTCGGGCAGCCCGGCCCCGAGCTGCCGAACGAGCGGCCAGTCCACACCGTCGCCTTCCTCACCAGCGCCGTGCGCGAACGAGGGTGGCGACGCGGACGGGCGCACGCTCTACTCCACGCTCACGCGGGCGCAGGCGGCGGCCGTGGCGCGCCGCCTCGACACGTACACGCAGACCGTGCGGCGGCGCCGGCACCGGCCCTCGGCACGCGACGTGCGAGACGTCTTCCCGGCGAGCGCTTGTGCCGAGGTGAGGTGGCTCCCCCCCCCCATCATCAGCACCACCACGGCCGGTTCATTTGTAGCAGTGGCTGCCCAAAGCGGCGCTATTGAAAGGCGTTGATAGTTGTGGGTTAAATGTATTGTTTGAATAGAGGAAGGCTGTGAGAACTTGGGAGGGTTATTACCAAGTTGAGCAGTGTGAGAAAATAAGTGGAAAAGGAGGAAAGTGGTTTGAGCCAAAGTGTGGTGCTTGAGCGCAGTCGGTTTGGCAGATTGAGTTCCTCCGCGTGGTTGGAGGAATACGAGGAGAGACGTTCGTAACCATGGTGTGAAGTTCGTAATCATGGTGACAGAGATGCGACTGACCGCCAGTGAGCAAGCAGTGGAGCTTGCTTGCTTCGGTGGCATCTGTAGATGCGTCGTGATCTATCGACTCCCCCTCACAGTAGTTCGATGAATTGTCGCGATAGGATTCGGAACTAGATTATAGTATCGTTTTCATCGGCTTGTTTGTGTTGTTCCTTTGTTGCTCTCTACCTTGATTGTACAGTTTGTTTTGTTCATGCCATTGTCCTAAATGTACCATTGGTTTATAATTTGCATGAGGAGTAAACACCCAATTATGATACGAATTGCACGTTTTTATGAATGCAATAATTTAAAGCCATCTATCGGCACGTGGATTGGCAGTAGATTAAGCTTGTGTATATCACAGGCATCGCACACAACTCTCAAGCTGCCTTTCATTGTCTTCCACCTCCAGTAAGTGCATTGGTAGGTGCACTGCAGCACTGCCAATGTACTTGCCGAAAACATGTATTGGCCAAACATCCCGAGTCAGAATGCTTTTTGGGAAGAGTCTTGAGACCCATTGAGCCTTTTTAACCAAAATAATGACATCGTCATCCTCTGCTCACATACAGTACTTAGAGTGTATAGAAATATTGCTGTTGAAAACATTCTCATGGACAATAACAAATGTTTTGCTTTTCATATACTGTAGTGTCCTCTACACCGGGACATCTCAGAGAGCATCACACTTCGTCCAAAACATTTGTCCAAAACATTTGTCCAAAACATTTGTCTAAAACATTGTCCCTGTGGGCGCAAGGTAGCCCAGACCCTGGCCTGAAAACGCGCACGAGTTTGCCAGTATGTGGCGACCATTGCCCTCAGTCACTTGCAGGTCATTTCAAGTGTGTTATGTTACGCAGCACTTCCTCTAAACTCGCATGACCTTCCCGCGATGACCCTTCTCCCTGCGTGATCCCCAACAGCAGAGCCTTGACAATGGAACTTCTCGGCCACCCGAGGGCAACCAGTCAACAGAGCAGCCATCGGCAAACAGTACTCCTACAGCAGACAGCAAGACCACAGAGAAACAAAGTAACTCGCTCCACAACATTACACTATTTCAGCAGAAGGCAATTAATTATTCCACATATACATATCTCCAGGTTGCAAGCTACCAAAAACGGCAAGTGAGAAGAAAGTACGTTTTGACGTCAAGTTCGGTAAAGTCGCTTGGATATAAAATACAAATAACAAAATTAAATAAATACAAATAAAAAAATAAAATTTACATTAATGAAAGCAAAAAACCACGCCGCACAGCTTTGCTCACTTTGAAAGCCCTTATAAGCAGTGGCATTTGGAGGGTTTGCCCCCTCTTTTCTCTCGGCCGGATGAAGACTGCTTGTGTTGCGATCGAAACGTCCTGGGTTTTTCGCTTTTATTATTTTCAATGTATTTACATTTTTATTAATTTAATTTAATTGTATTCTTATTATTTTCTATCTAGCTGACTCTACCAAAAGAACCAAGAATATGAATTCTTGCAGTCACGAAAGTTTAAAGTCAAAATGTAGGTTCCTCTGTGTTTAACAAATTGCACCATTTATTCAATTTGGGTAGAAAAATATTGGAGCTCATGAATATTTCAGTGGAGTTTTATATGGGTAATTTTTCTTGGTTAATTAGTAAACATTCAGTCCCTGGGAAGGAAAGGTTAGTTATAGTGGAAACGGAGTAGTTAGTCGGTTGTCTTGACAATGTGATAATAACGGTTACATACACCTGTTGGTGTAATATAAAAATCGGTTAACTCCATGCATTCTCACACAAACATATCTTTGGTTCGAAGGTCTAAGGTCAACCAACTAATGGCTTTGCTATATGACCTTTTTAACAGCCTTTGTGGCTCTAATCATACCGCACATGTCAATATTTGTGTAGGGGCAGCTATCACTCACACAGATGAGTAATCTACACGAAATGTAAATTATTACTTCACCCAGAAGGCTGTTTGGGTAGCATTTAAAATACAGAGAAGGGTTCTTTGAACATTGAAGTGGGTCTTGCAACTCTACTCACAACTCTACTCACTGATGTTCTTGACTCTCCCGCAATGCGGTCCTACAATCACATTAGAAATATATATCAAGTAAAACATTTTTTGGTGATTTCTTGCTCAAATGAGCATTGGGACGCAGCTCATCTCCTATGTTTAGATGGCTCAGCAGCAGTTGCTAACGCCTCGCAATAAAAATCTTGGTTGGGGGTTGACTCATCCCATCATCCCCCCAGGGTCGATACAATTAGTACCACTTTGTGGGCAAGTCAACAGTGGTTGCCCAATGGATAGACCCGGCCCTGCCATAGATTTGTGAAATTGCCACCAATGGCTCAGGGATATAAATAGAAGATGAGCACTGCCTCAATTTTCATTTGAGCAGGGAATCACTCTGATTTGACTCTTAACTTGAGATTACTTAAAGGATTTAATACGGCCTAGTTAGGATACTGGAGGCAGCATTGGTGCAATGGGTACGATGAAACCTAGCAAATTGAGTTAAATTTCCGGTCACCCCTAACATCAGTGTAAGGTGATACCTTGGACCAGTCCTAGGCCCATCCTCCACCGAGCCACACTGACCTGCATGGTGAAGTATGGTCAAAGTAAACCCATGACTGACGTGACTTTGAGAGGCCTTCATCCAGCAGCGGATTGACAAAGGGATTTTATTCTATTGCGTGGAATGTATGTGAGCAGGATTTATATTTCGATTTAAAGCTTTCGTGACTGCAGGGATTCGTCTTCTTGGTTCTTTCGGTACAGTCACGTAGAAGGGAAATAATAAAAGAATAAAAATAATAAAATATTTCTTACGACGTTTCGGCCACAATGCAAGCAACCATTCTCAGGTGAAGAACAGGTCTGTCGGAAAGACAGCGTCTTTCCGACAGACCTGTTGACAGACCTGTTCTTCACCTGAGGATGGCTGCTTACGTTGTGGCCGAAACGTCGTGAGAATTATTTAATTATGTTAAAAAAATTTAATTTTATTATTTCCCTTCTACGTGACTTTACCGAAAGAACCAAGAAGAGGATTTATATTATATACCCAATCGGCAGGTTGTGTGTAGTGGGGTAAATTGTGAGTACTCCCTCCTCTGCCAAGATCTTATGTTCATATAGCGCCTTGATTCAAGGCGCTTTACAAGGCTTATGAGTGGTACAATGAGGGTAGCTAAACGTGGTATGGTGAATAAGGTTGGGGTATGGGGAGGGAGGTTAGTGGGTATCGGAATTACGGGGAATTTGCCAACATAGAAGAGTAGGCCAAATACCGTCTAGATGAATCCTTCTATAAGATGCCCTTCTGCCAGCAGTCGTGTGAGGAAGTAATTGCAGGGCTGCCCCTTCATCTCTTATATGACCTGGTTATTGTTAGAGTGCATGCTAATGACTCGCACTCAAGCAAATTGTTTCCAGCCTGCACGGATTTTCCTGTTGCGATGGGTTTTCTCAACGTTTACAGACATGGTGTCGGATTTGAATTATACAACGCTGTAGATCGGCTTGAGCCTGCAGAGATGTTCTCTAATGACCCGTCCCAGATGGTGACCTCTCCTCGGAGCCGTGCACTCTGTCGGCTCAGGAAGCAGCCGAGGTCGCTGACCTCCAATCAGATGTGCCGTATTCTGACCAGGCCGCCAGCGGCTGTCAGTCGTCAACCAGCGCAGAAGAGGGAAACGCCACATCCGTAAGTGGCCGGCAACACTCGGTACTTTGCACGAAACAAGGACACCGCAGACATTTGCCATTGTCGATTCGATTGTTCAGTCTCTTGTCGAGTCAGATGCGCGCTGTGTCCATTGTAACTCGCCTCTTGTTGTGTCATCGTTTGTAATTTGTATCCTGGTTATTTGTGTACATATTACTGCATTGTTGAAGACATAGAAATAAAAAAACCTATTAAAAAAATACATTCTGACATTTAAAGCATTTACCTAAAACATTATTTAATTACAATGATTTCAAACTATCTTTTTTTAAAATTTCATTTACATGTATCACTCGTGTTTGGGGATTGAGTAATGAAGGTTCTAATGAACGAGATGTGGATGTGTAGGTGACACTATTAATCTCACATCAGTGAAACATATGGCACCGGCTTTGAAGGCTGCAGGGGGTTGCGGTTAAAATTCCGTTCCATGTCTCACAGAACACGCATTTCAGCATTGCGTGGCAAATAACACTGGCTCGCACACTTCCGATGTACTGCTCTCTGTCTCACTCACACACAAGCATGTGTCTTCCATTACATTGACAAAAAAACACTTTAACCAGCAGATCCCAAAAAAATATGAATCCAGAAGAGCTTTGGTGGTGGCTACAATCTAATCATGGTAATGTGGGATGTGTGCCAGCTACAGCTTGCAGGCATTATGAATTTGGAAGCTCACCTCTGCATACCGACTTTACTATCACTTTGGTGAAGAATCCAGTTTTGTGGAGTTCACAGCCTGCTTCCTGTTTCAAGTGGTACAGCCCACTGTTTCTGGCGAGTTGGGCCATGTTTGAGTCTGTGGAACTGTCTATTTTTCTGTTGTTGTGGGGGGGGGGGGGGGGTTGGGGAGTCAGGCAGGAGCGCCGTGCTCTCAGCATCCGTGCCTCGGAACGACGCGGCTGGATGACCTCTCGGCTCAAGATATGAAAAAGATTCGCTTCCTGGCTCTCATCGAGCTCACGGCCCTCCTCGATGCACTCACCATTGACCTCAAGCGATCCAAGGCCATCAGGACAAAGGTTAAAGGTCAGATGGGCACAGGATAAACATGACCAACATTTCTGGATAGAAAGCCTGGTCAAAGTAAATACTGAATTGTCGAGACTGTGAAGAGGGAATGTGTCTACATTTGAAGGGGTAAAGATTGCCTTCAAACTTAATTGTATTCATCTTGGCAGCTGACAACACGAAAAGCGTACAGTGCCATAAACATTTTGATTAAATTTGGCGTGTGACAATTTGTTCAAATAAATACAATTTACATGAAACCAATATGCCCTGTCGACTTGCTGTTGGCAGCGATCAACTTAACAAGACCAAACTGGGAATACCGAACTGGTACACAATATGGTTTATTGTGGTAATTAAATTCGTTTTATTTGGGGCCCAACAGTGATTTCACAAAACAAGACGGAGGACCGCCTTGTGTGTAAATGTGACGTTTTTTTTTGCGATGTCTTTTCTTCTAGAAAACGGTCTCTTTGGAGTACCCCTTCCCGTGGTTCTGGAGCAGGACCAGAGGAAGTTCCCCGGCACGAGAGTACCCATCTTTCTCCACAAGGTCAGCCTAGCTCTTTAAAACGATACAAATAGGTAATTATTCATATTGCCAATTAAAAAGAAAACACTTTATCTGGAAACATTTAAAACATGTAATTATTCTCAACTCTTCTCCGTCTCTGGCCGCTCTATGCTACTGAACGTCGGTGACTACTGGACATCATAAATGCAGATTCTGATGTGCTCAGAAGAAGAGCCATTGGCAAAAAATTTCACCCATTACATATTTTTCCTTCTAAGGCATTGTCATTAACGGACGTGTTGAGTGTATTTGTTTTGTTATTTGTGCACCGCTGCCAATGCACTATCACCAAATAATTTGTTTAATTTCAAAAGTGAGTGAATTGCACCCACTCCTACCACTGCTGCCGCAGTCTGGTGCACCCCACTTTTTAAATCCTTTATATTAAGTTCACTTGCTTGCTTGCTTGCACGCTTACGACCGTGCAAATCTTTCGGTCGTTTTTTTAACCCACTTCCCGTGATCCAATCGAGCTGACATTTTGCACACAGACTCGTTGTGCGTGACAATGTATTGTCGTGAAATTTTTTGTTCCAAAATTTTACACTTTTTAGGAATTTTTTTTTATATTTAATTACCAATTGCTTAATGGTGCCAGGCAATCATCTGACCCATAGGTGGCAGCCATCTCAAGCCAGAGGACGAGAGGACTCTAGCCGCCACGCATATAAAGGATTTATAGTGAAAAACTTTGTTTTTACGGGTTAATTGTTTACATTCAGCTGATGAGGGGAAATATAAATCGCACGTGAATCGGGAGGGAAAGGTGGGAAATAAATACCTAGAACACAGAGAGAGTCTCGCCAGGATCATGGAAACTCCCACACTAACCTAGAATCCTGTACATCATTAATAAGACTCGTCATGAGATCATTACGGCGCATTTGGCAGATCTTGTAAAGTTTGGATTGGGATGATTTTTCTTTTGTGCATGGCTTATCCACTTGTTTCCTTTAAGTAGCTGGTTGGAATCTAGTCGTGTTTTAAAATAGCTAAACATTATCGATGATAACTTACTCAATAAAAGCAAAGCATGTATCAACGGTGTGCTCTTTGCGGTGCCAAACTAAAACAAAACTGGATGGGGCATTACATCAATTCAGACATTCTTTTTAATTATCCCATAAGTCATGGAAACAAAATACTGCACCGAACCTGCAGGCGTGCTATGTAACCATAGTGGAATTTAAAATTCCTCAATTCCTATAGGAACCAATACTGTAATGTGCATGCAGCAGCAAAACAAAAACCCCAAGCATAGTATTTATTCATAAGGGCAGGTCACGGGTGTACATACTTGTGCTTGAGGCGCTTTTATCGTCGCACGAGGCCCATTGTGTGAAATGCAATACAAAAGAGTGAGGTAAGGTGGTGGTTGTACAAGAGTCCCCCTTACCCCACTCCCTTTCCCCATTACCCACCCCACCGTGCTCCTCAAGTCTACGTTTTTTTTTGTCAATGTCTGCAGGCTCCGCGGGTGTCCGCCATCTGGAAATTTTAAACACAGACCCCCCCCCCCCCTTCCTCCACCCCCCTGACTAAGAGTGCATGCCTCGCTGTGTGTGTGTAGTTTATCTTTGTCTTTGTGTAGTTTTACATTTATACAAGTGGCGCTTTTAACAGTGTAAATTATGTTGTACGAACAATGTTTATAGTAATGTTCTTGTTCTTCTGGCAACATGAGTAATATTTTATTATTGCGATTATATTGTACAGCTTCTGTGCCACTTGGAAGAAACAAGTCTGAATGCTGAAGGAATACTGAGGGTCCCTGGTTCAGCGGCTCGCATTAAGGTAAGGGGACATTCTGTAAAAATGCAACGTTTAGCACAATGGTCTCGCAATCAGGAGGTTGCCGATTCGATTTGATCCGCTGGCTGAGCAGTTGCAGCCCGCGGTCAAGTTTCTTCAATTCTCCTGCCTATGCCCAGCCAGCAGCAGTATAAATGGGTAATGCCACAGTCAGGCAAGTCAAATCAGCAGGCCACCTGCTGTGGAGTAAATTGTGGGCACTGTCACCTCTTCCAAAATATCTGGTCAGCGTGGAACAGTCGATCAAATACCCTTCATAAGGGTGCTCTCTCGACCTCGCTTTAGCGAGTGTCCTTCTGCCAACGGTGGCGTGAGCCAGTAATTGCAGGGCTCCGCCTTTGGCTACTTTTCTTCCCCAGTCAAAATTGCCTCCTTAGTATTTGAATAAGTTGAGTAATTTTCAATATTTCCAAAATGTTTTGCTCTTATTGCAACTGCTGCAATAGTGTATTCTGGTTTACGTGATTATTTTAGAGTAGCAACTCAAATGATAACATTTAGTAACTTGATGGAATCTGTCACGAGTAGCTTATTTTGACCAAATATGTTCAATTGATAATAAATAAAGGATTTATGCATTTTTTTATCATCCTGAGTTAGGATACAATTTTTTGTGCATTTATCTTTCCAAAACACGTTTCCACATTTATTTCAAAAGACGCCACTTTTTCAAACAAAAAGGGAAAATTATCTGATTTGACTTCTTTGGCCCATATATGTCATGTGAAGAAGGGTTATTGGCCAAAATGTCACCTTTTATATACCTTGTAATTATAAGGCGGTTTTATTGATAATTGTGTGGAGTCATTCCTAATCCAGCCAAGTGACCCAGTGGCAGAGTTGGTTGGGCATTGACTCAGCCCATCATTCCTCGTGTGTTGATAAAATAGATACAACGTTGCAGGGAAATAAACAGTGGTTAACCTATGGACAAACTCATCCATGCCATTGGCATGTGGAATTTCTACTGCTGTCTCAGGGTTGTAAATAGAAAATGAGCAATGCCTCAATGTTCATTGTAACAGGAAATCACTTTGACTTTATTGTTTTCGTGTGTTTTACTGCAACACACCAGCCAAAGGGCTTTGTATTGAGTAATGGGCACTGACGAAGCCATATGACCGCACCAATCGTTCTGTCTGGTGTTTAATCCACGAACAGCTACAGGATTTGGGCTGTCAGGGATTGGCGAAAGCGCTCGCCGCAAAGCTTCGCAGGCGGGGAAAAGCGGGCACGACAATACGTATAACGAACTCCAGCCGTGCGAGACCAAGCGACAGAATCCAATTTCAGAGGGCAGCAGGTGAATGAATTAGCAGAGTCCTCCCTCGCCTTGTTAATGTTCCGGTATATGACACTCGTGGGTGGGAGCGCCGTGTCAGTGATTTAAGATCCAGACCTGTGCCACTGGTGGGCTCTCCACACAGCCCAGTGGCCCAGCGAAGAGGGTCAGCAATGAGATCAGATGCTTTTAAAGGAATGTAATCATTGGAAAAAAACACACGCGGGCTCTGCGTGTGCACACACACGCGCATGCACGTACTCAGACGCACATGCACACACTTTGGCATGTATTCAAAAAGCATATCCTGGCATTGGGGGTCAGGCTCGGGACGGAAACGCATGGGGAACCTTAATTTGCTAATGCTCATGGCTCCGTTTTCTAAGACACTATTTGTTTACAATTATACCAATCGCTATAGGAAAATTAGCACAGGCCAAAGCACCAAAGGCATGCTCCATCCATTACAGTGAAACCACTCATCCCTTTCAGGCTCGATAATTTCCAGTAGCCGTATATGAAAGGTCGCTCTGTTTTTCCCCCCCACTTTTTGTTTCTAATAACTTGAACATAATATGAAACCTCCTACCAATTACTTTCATTACAGTAAAAAAATCGATGTGGGTGAGGTCAAAATAATTGGCATCCTCCATTGGAACCTCATTTGCCAATAAAAAATAACAATTAGCGTCCTCTTTTTCTGACTAGAACAACACAGATTTAGTGCTGGGTATAACTTAGGATAACAAAAAATCTATGTACAACTGAAAGATGGGGAAAATATTATTAATATGTCGGTGATGGAAACCATAAAGCGCGTGCCGTGGTGCAGTTAGGTGCACAGATTTATTGGGAGGCGTACATTCACACATGGGCCACGCTATATAATGATATGATGCAGTGAAAGCTTTTATTGTGATGGAGGGGGAGGGTAACATCACAAGACTTCTTGACAGCGGTTTACTCTGCACCGTAGATGTGTTCTGCAGGATGAATGATGAGCAGCTTTCACTTTGTGCCCTTTTGACATGAGCCAATTAGGCACGCTGTCTAATGGAAAATACACATTTAAAATTCGTTATAGCCAGAACGTCACAAGATCATTTTTGGAAGTTGATATCAATACAGTATATATATATAAAACGACTAAACTGTAACGAAAAACCCCCAAAAGAAAATGAAATTTTGATTGAATGAGAAAACATTTCAATGGATATGCTAATTTCCCAGCTGTTAATATTCACGTTGAAAATGTGAAAACTCGCTCAAAGAAGCACACAAGGATGGACGCAAAACTTGGAATATCTCCAAGAGACAATGCGATATTCACACGGATTACGTAGAATACGTAGCCTTAGCATGCCTGGTATATATATTTATATATATATGCGCATACTGTTTACCCAGGAGAGTGTTGCCAGGCTTTGTCTTCCTGCTTCGTGATGTTTAGCCAATTCCTTACAGTGTAGATTTGCACATTGGGAGGAAACAGGAATATCTGGAAAGAAAAAAAACACCCACATTTTACCCAGGGCAATAATCAGGTGCCTTATACACAAATCACAATTTTCCTGCAAGTGGATCGCCAATGCAGGCACCATCGCTGTGTGATCCACCAACACGAGCTTGGATGTCAAAGCAATGTTGAACCCTGCTTAAACGGGGGTGAGTCTGGTCTGTACTTGATACTTGGATGGGTGACTCCAGGTCATAACCAATTGATTTAGGATTGGGGTTGGGGGAGGGGGTGCCGCAGAAATGGATTCATGAATCTGTCCGCACAGAGTGAAATGTTTCTGGATGCATGCGTGGGTTTTCTCTGGCTATTTTGGTTTCACGTGCACACGGCAAGTTGTGCAACGTTCCTAAAGGACCCTGTCCGTACGCGTTCTATGCAATATTAAAAATGTTCCGATTTAAAGCTTTCGTGACTGCAGGGATTTATCTTCTTGGTTCTTTTGTAGAAGGAAAATAATAAAATAATAAAAATTAAACATAATAAAATAATTCTCACGACGTTTCGGCCACAACGCAAGCAGCCGTCTTCAGGTGGAGAACAGGTCTGTCGAGAAGGCACTTCAGACTCTGCACTTCAGACTCTGCCTGCTGCTTGCGTTGTGGCCGAAACGTCTTGAGAATTATTTGATAATGTTTTATTTTTATTATTTTATTATTTTCCTTCTACGTGACTTTACCGAAAGAACCAAGAAGATTAAAAATGTTGACTGTGTTTATGGTATTGCCGCTGAGCTCACGCACCACGGCAATCTCCCTTTGTAAAATAGCCGAGAAACTGGCTGAACGGGATCGTCCACGCAACACGCAAACAAACTCACTTAAACTTGGCATTACACGTGGCAAAACACTCATTCATGAAATTGGCCAAACATCCCATTGCAATTCTAGATTTGAAGCTTTCGTGACTGCAAGGATTCATACTCTTAGTTCTTTCGGTAAAGTCACGTAGGTAAAAAATGAAATAAAAATTAATAAAAAATTTGTATTTCATTTTTTACCTACGTGACTTTACCGAAATAACTAAGAGTATGAATCCCATTGCAAGACCCTTCTTAAATGTTTCAAGGCCCAGGGTAAATGAGAAGCTCCCCATTTATTAAAGCATCTAAGTTTATACCCTTAACCAACACTGACCGGCTTGGTGAAGTATGGTGAAACAACCCCCCCCCCTAACTGGCACAGCATTGGAGAGGCCTTCATCCAGCAGTGAATTGACAGTAAGCTGTAAACTTCCGTCCTACGTATATTTTTATTTTTATTATATTTTACCATACAGGATTGTTAGTTATCTTTTAACGTTTGGTTTTACACATAGGCGGAGTTTGACATTTTGAGGAGGGCATGGGTTCGCTTTGCCCTTCGCATTAGGAATCGCGGGTGCATAGAATTAATGTATCTATTTTTTTTTATCTTAATTGTAAGCTACTGAAAATAACTTAATAAAGGTGTCCAGTTTGGTTGGGGCGTTGCCCCCCCACAGCAAAATTCGCTCATGGTTTTGCATAAACTTTTAATTCCACTTTGCTGTTTTCCATGTGAATTTAAACGTAATTTATCTTAAGGATTATAATCTAACGTTGCTTCGCCAGAATTAGAAAGTGTAACGTGTGCCATTAAAACATTCACACATTTGTGAAATATTGATACAAAAAGGCACACTTGTGAAGGGGCCCGCTCTTGAAATTCACGTGAAACGCAATTTTGATTTAATGTGGCTGAAAAATCTCGCTGTCGCTTGGAAACGGAGATTTATAAAAGTGAAGGCAAATTGGACAATCTCGTCGCTGAGACATGCTCTGGTTTATAGGCAATGACATCACACAATGTGCTTGCATGCAACGGGAAAAAAAAACTCGAGATGAGATGGGCCGATGTTGGTTTATTTATTTAGTTATTGCCTCTGAATTGTCATTCGCAGAAGGTAAGAATCGCGTGTTAGCTTTTTTTGCCTTTTGACTGTAATCGCCAATTGAGTAATTTTGTGGGCAAATATAGAATTTGGAAAATTTGGACCCTGGGTTGCCAAGCACATGGTGATGATCAGGTTCGACTTGGTAGGCCTTGAGCAACACAGGCGAGTTCAAGAACCAGTGCAGTACAGTTCATTGTGCTCGTTGAAATGTCGAATGGAGCTTCATTGGCAGCAACATTGAATGGAACAAATGGAACTGCAGCTGCTGTG